AAATATACCATATAGAAAATTAATATATACAACAACAATATAGAAAGCGAAGGCAGTAAAGGGAGTTAAATTATCATATTTTTAATAAGTTGCAATAGAACTAATTTATATAATGTTTTAGTAAGTCAAGGTTGTACGTTGACATCTTATAGGTAGCAACTACCAGTACCATAAAAACAGTACATAACTAACAAGCCAACCCAAGGGAAAAATGAATTTTAAAATTTACATAATTTCAAAATAAGTCATAAAAAAGAGAAACAGGGCAGTAAAGGACAAAAGAACACCTGAGACAAACAGAAAACAAACAGTGCAATGGTATTTTGGTTCCTTTCTGAAAATTCCTCCCCACTCACTCTAAGGTATTTTGTAAATGTACTAACAGCTTCAGAGTTGTAAACTGAAAAGCATATAGTTACTTTAATTTTTTAATTAAATTTAAGCAAAAATATTGTACATTCCAATTAAATTCAAGTGACGGTTTAACACTAAATACTTGGAATCATAATATTTGCTGACAGCAAATGTAACTTAAAGGATCAGGATATAATGTAAAATAACTATAAATTTAATCTCACAAAGTCTACAATTTTGTCTTTAAAAAACTAATATATTTTAAGTGTTGTTTATGATAGAATTTAGATCCTTAGGAATTTTATTGCTGTAACGGGGTATTAATACATGAAGATATTTAGCTACTGCTTAAGCAGCACTTGGAAATCAAAGAAGGACTACTTTACAGGGAACCTAAATTTTAATCCAAACTTTAAACCACGAGTTAAGCCAGCTTCATCATATCCATTTTAACAGAGACAAATATAGAAAATAAAACAGGCCCTAAGAGATAGCTTGAACCATAGAAGGATCAATTTTAACCTCCTGGTCTATTAAGGAAATCTGAAAAACCAATGCCATTAGTTACAAAAAAAAAAAAAAGAGAGGAAGAGAACTAAAGAATTTAATTAGTGGAGCTGTGGTAGTGCAAGCCTTTAATTCACATTGACCCATTTTATGTTTGGTAATAAATTGCTAAACTTCAAATGTGTATATTTGTACTTACACACACACAATATTTAATTTTATCTTAATAATATATTGGTAGCAGAAAAAGGGCTAGGTTTTGAATCTTTCTATTGACTAGCACAGTATTCTTTCAAAATAGAGCACTCTGTCTGTCCCAACTGCAGCCAAATTATTTCAAAACTTAGGGGTCCTGCCCATGATTCCCTCTGCCAGATTTAACAGTGGAGAAATAGTTAAGCTCTGTGAATCTTTTAACAGCTTCCAGAATCCATTTTCAACTCTTTCCCCATCAAAGTATGACTAGATTCTATAAAAAGATAACACACAACCCAAACGTCCATCTACATATGAATGGATAAAGAAGATGTGGTACATATATACAATGGAATATTACTCCACCATTAAAAAGAATGAAATAATGCCATTTGCAGCAACATGCATGGAACTACAGATTATCATACTAAGTGAAGTAAGTCAGAAAAAGACAAATATCACATGCTATCACTTGTATGTGGAATCTAAAAAAAAATGATACAAATGAACTTATTTACAAAACAGAAATAGACTCATAGGCATAGAAAATAATCTTACAGTTACCAAAGGGGAAATCAGGGTGAGAGATAAATTAGGAGCTTGGGATTAGCAAATACAATCTACTATATATAAAATAGATAAACAACAAGGTTTTATTGTATAGCACAGGGAACTATATTCAATATCTTTTAATAACCTAAATTGGAAAAGAATCTGAAAACGAATAGATACATATACATATGTGTATGTGTAACTGAATTGCTTTGCTGTACACTGGAAACTAACACACCATTATAAATCAACTATAGTTCAATAAAAAAAGGTAAAACACAAACAGTAATAATACCCATCTAACAGCACTAAGACCAAACTTTATTGACACCTGTCTTAATTCTCATCACTTTGGCATTCACATAACAAATAGTTAGCATTTTATTACAACGTGCTAATCATTGTTTTGGACCCTAAAAAGTGCTATGAAGGATTTCACATTCCGCATAAATCTGAGATGCTTATGCCCTAGAAGGAAAAACATCCATTCATTTGTTCATTCAACAAGTATTCATTGGCCATTAAAAACTAATCAGACATTTTGTTCATTGCTGAGGATTTTGTGGTGGAATTTTTCCTTACTTTTATGATACTTAGAGTCCGGTAGGGAATTAAACATAAAATGATCACAACAATAAATGTAAAATTCACATTATTTGTAATGAACAGTGCAAAGTAAGATAACAAGAAATGCTTGCCTTGAGAGTCTGGGAAAGATTTCATGAGGAAGCAACATTTGAGTTGAGAGCTCAAGGTTAGTTATTTGAAAAGAATCTTCCTAGCAGAGAGGAAAACAGGTAAAGATCATGTTTCCAGAGGAAAGAGGATTGGAAAACTCAAAAGAAGGACACAGTGGCAAGGATAAGAGGACATAGCTTAAGAGGATGCTGCAGAGAGATGCAATGAAGAGATCACCTGAGGCTTCCAAGAACACATTAAAGATTTTGCTTGCTATTCATTCCTAAAAGCAATGAGAATTCACAGAAGGTTGTGAAACGGGAGAATAGCATGATTCTGTGTAAAACAGAGAACTTCTCCCAACTAGCTGTAGAAACAATAGGTTGAAGGATCGCAAGAGTCTAGTAGTTCATTGGAGAGAGAATGCCACTTTAAAATTGATAGCAGCAGTAGAGTTGGAAAAACAGATGGATCTGTGAGAAATTCGAGGTAAAATTGCAGGACTTAGTGATACTTTGGTTATGGGGGAAAGAAGGAAAAGAGCTCTTGGTTTGTGCTTCCAGGGCTGAATGAATTGCAATGGCATACCCTGTGATAGGAAATTCTAGAGAATGTCTGGGGTTGGAAGGGGAAGAAGAACGTGATTCCAATTTTGCAAATGTTGGGTTTGAATTACTTTTGAGATACCCAGGTGATGATGTCAGGTGAGCAGGTGAACATCAGGACTGGAGCTTAAGAGAGAGATGGTAATATGAATCTGGAAGACATGGGTATACTAATAGTAAGAGGAACTGTGAGTGTGCATAAAAAGTCATGAGGAATCTGAAGATTTACCCCTGAGCCAGTCTAGTTCTAGCCTGAGGAACCAGAGAGGTAGGGCTTAAAGCAGCAACAATGTTGTTAAACACAAGCCAAAGAAGAAGGTAAATTTCAGAGTGCAGTGTCACTGCTGCTGTGTATTCAATAGGACATGTCCTAAAACATTACCATTTCACAACACTGGAACTAAAACAGAACTATGCATAAAATGCCATGAGAGCACAGAAAAAGGCTAGCAACTCTGGAAGGAGAAAAGGGTTGGTCAAAAGAAGTGATATTTAAGCTGTGTCTGAGGAATAAATAGGAGTTTCTCACTAAAGCAGTCCAGGGTTAAAACAGCAATATTTGGAGAAGGTATTGCTATTTCTCCAAAAAGGAACAAAAAGTCTTTATTAGGCTGATGAGTGTCCAAAAACCCTATTCCCCGCATTCCTAGATCAGTCATCCTAGTCATTTTCTTTCTTTTTTTCATCCTAGTCATTTTCAATTACCCTGTTTCCACACCCCTGCAAGGCAAAGTAGACATCCTCACCTAGCAGTCTAGCCTCTGTCATGTTCCCCAAAGCCCACAAAATTAGAATATGGGGGTCGCAGGAGAGAAAAATAATATTAACCCAGCAACAGAAGTCGTATAAAGTCTCAGACTTCGGGACTGGAAGGTAAGGATTCCTGATTCTGTAACAGAGTGAATATGAAGGTTATATTATCTTTATAATACAAAGATCAAATGAGAAGGCAGGAAAATTAAATAGAAGACAAGAGAACATACAGGAAGATAAAGAATTATTTTCCCTTTCTTGATTGTCAGCAACAGTCTTTGAGTCAGATGACCAGGGCCATCTTTTAAGTAATGAGGAGCAAAGTATCTTTTAGAGAATCCACAAACGCTGAACTCCAATCTGTAGAACTAAAATTACAATGCCACATATTGATACATTGAACTGAAAATACATTAACTATAAAACTATAGAAAAATGGATGCCTAATATTAGAATAGTTGATTTTAAAACACAAATTTAAATTATGCTTACCCACTAAAATATTATGCTTAATACAAATTATTATTTTGTACATAGATGAATCAGTAATAAACATTTTTGTATCCACCAAAATTCAAAAAAATAATAGCTAAACCCTGAGTCTCCCTCCCTTTTCCCACGTTTTCACATTCACTTAACAATTATCACTGTTATTCCTTTGTGAAACTTTAAATTTTAAGCTCTTTTAAGGGAAAAGTCTATTTCTTTATATAGATTTTCTTCATTTACTTGCCATTTCCGGTTGAGAGTGCATTAAATCGCAAGTATGTGGATACTATACTCACTTGCCTAATAATTGTCTTAAAATGGGCTTTCAGGAATCAACATGGGAATACATTTTGGACTGAAATCGCTGTTATTTACCGTTTTTCCCCAGCTTGTTCAAGTGTGTTGAAGCATAAATACATTAGGGATAATTAATGATATGACGGATGATTTCATCCCACCGTGTTTTCCCAACCTTCTGTGTTGGCTTTGTTCCTTTTTCCGCCTCATATTCTGACAAATTCGTCGTCTTTGTCACACAATAATCAGGAGAAAACCGAAAAGAAGGGCGCTATCCTCGGAGGAGTGCTGTATATTACGACTCATCCCTTCCAAGGGAAACACAGAGAAGGAACAGTTTCCTTTAGGCGACCTGCACGTGGCCAAGATAGGGATTTTAGTGGGTCTGAGCTGCAGGGGTGGGTCTGCAATTCACCCCAGAAAGATGATGGGAAACCTTTTAAGGGGTGAGGTTTGACATTACAGAACTGTCGCAGGAAGGGCCCAGGGTGAGAGACTACACAAGAAGGGGAGAGGAGGCCTGGGGGATGACGAAAGAGGGTGGGGACCCCCTGGGCCGCGAGGTGGTACCTGCGCGGGCTCGAACGCCCCTGCCACTGAATCCCCGATCCAGAGATGCTCCCGGAGAAGTTGTTGGTAGCTGAGGCAGTGCTTCACCGCGGATGGCACGTTCCCCATGGCCAGGTCCGGGGCGGCTGTAGGCGATGGGAGAGAGCGGGGAGGAGAGAGATGCGGGCCGGGCGCGCGCTGCGGTCCCGCGCCGGCCCCCGAGCGCGCCTTCCGCCTCCCGCGCGCGCTGAGCCCGGCCCCGCTCTGTGTACTGCAGCGGCGCCAAGCCGAGAGCGCCCAGAGCAGGGCGCGCGGGAGACACCTGCGCGCACGCGGGCCACCCGGAGCCGAAGCGCGGAGGAGATATTCCCAGCATGGCGCGCCTGCCGCTCTGCACCCAGCAAGTAGGGCTGATCGCATCTGCACACGCCCCACTCACCGGCTTCTCACCTGGTTCAGAATCCACAGGGAAGAAAGGGTTAGGTCTCCATCAAAGGAAGAGGGTCTGCGTTTTCTTGTCTGGCAGTTTGCTCATTCCCAGCCTTTGGCGTCCACTGTAGATGCGTCTGGCCTTGAACTCACTTGAGTTTATCTTCATGATAATAAACTTGACATACACACACAGATTTAAAAGATAACCAACAAGGACCTACTGTATAGCGCAGGGAACTCTGCTCAATATTCTGCAATAACCTAAATGGGAAAAGAACTTGAAAAAGAATAGATGCATGTATTCGTACAACTGAATCACTTTTCTATACACCTGAAACTAACACAACATTGCTAATAAACTATACTCCAATATAAAATAAAAATTTAAAAATAAAGACATCAGTCATATTGGCTTAAGGCCCACCCAAACAACCCTTCAAATCAGAAAATCAACCTTGACACAGCACTACCATCCAATCTACATACCCCATGCAAATTTTACCAACTGTATCAACAGTGTCCCATTTGCTCAAAAAAAATAGTTATATTTTTTAAAAGCTCGATTTTTAAATATTATGAGACAGGAAATATGCTCAATATTTTGTAATAACCTGTAAGTGAAATTTTATATATATATATATATATATATATATAAAACATAGAACACATGTATGTTATAACTTAGCCCATACATTTATACTACATATGCCAAGCTTCTGTTTTATTGTTTTCTTTGCTGTTTTTCTCTTTGCTTCTAATATTAAGGTTTTATATTTTGAATAAATGATGCAGATCCAAAGTCTTCATATGGAAGAATTTCTTTATGACCTTTCCTTTATTTCCTTGTTAGGGCCCCACCTTAGTTATTTCTGCAATGGTTTCTCTTTATATGAAATTATTATATCAGTTATATCAATCTATGGCATATGCTAAAATAAATTTCTTGGAGAGTTAAAAATATCTGAATCATTTTGCTGTACACCTGAAACTAGCACAACATTGTAAATCAGCTATACTTCAATTTTTTTTTACAATATATGAACAAAAAAATAAATAAATATTCTGAGGCAGTTTGCAAGGTTAGAACACTTATATACAACAGTCTAATAAAGAAGAAAAGATAGAAGGTGGTAAATTAGGGGAGATGTCACAGATAACTCAGTAAGTCAGTCAGTTGTCAGTAAATGGGTAGTACACGTTAAGCACTGAAATGGAGTTCAGTTGTTTAAAGACACGCAGGGCACAAAATTATTGAAGCAGCTAAAGTGATTCAAACTGAAAAGTGTAAACATATCCTTACATCATTAGAAGAGCACTAGTCTTGAGTGGGGAGGTGTTGGGAAGATGGTCCTGGAACAGACCACCTCCCTGCATCCCCCTCTTTCACAATCACACCTACATCTACCCACTCTAAAATTCTTCAGCTGAGTTCAGCACCTGCAATTGAACGGACATCAAGAATAGCCTTGTGCTGCCAAGTGGCATGGCCAGGGGTACCAGTCAGCCCCACTGGTTGCTGCAGCAAATATAAATTAGGAGCTGGCTGATACCTAGTCAACCAGCTCCTAATTACACATAAAAGGATTCACAGATTACTTTCTACATCATGGTATAAACACACTTAAGGAAATTAACACCCAGAATAAGCAAACCTTCATTCATACTTGTGAGGGTGGTGAGACTCCCACTGGTAATAGACGTAAAGCAGTTAAGGACAGAAAAAGACAAACAATGGGAGAGGGATCTTTTGGATCCTTAGTGCAACAGGACTGGAGAGGCAAAGAGGATGAAGTGATCTTATAGCTCTCATCGCTTTGATCAAGGAGAGTTAACTTGGAGAACATGATCTGAGCTGCCAAAGTGAGGTCATGCAACTCTTGGAAGCCTTTAAAACTCTCTAATGCACCAAAAATTCCAATTATTATTTATCTGAACATGACTATTTTAGAGGTATATATTCATAGGCCTAAATCTCTATGATAAGTTGTTCTCGGTAGAGCTCAACTGTTGTTCTTCCAACACAGTTGAAATGAAGCTTAGAGGTTGCATCAATACCTATTACCACTCTTCTCTCCTTTTTGTAATTCTATAACAGGGAACATGATATTTGAAAGAATTTGAAAGGGCCCAATTTGAACAACAGTAATTTAGCAAGGTAATTTTATCATGGAGTCAGTTGTTTAATTATTTGTCATCAGTCAGACAATTAATATTGAAATCTAAACTTTTGAAGAATATAACCTCTAAGATAAGCCAGATATTGTATGATTCTCTGCTGTTAAGAAAAAGAACACCCAGATATAAACTTTACTGCTTAATAGTTTTCTAAATGGGGAAGTTTAGAAAATTTCTTATCTCAGTTAGGGACTTCCCTGGTGGTCCAGTGGTAAAGAATCCACCTTCCAATGCAGGGGACGAGGGTTTGATCCCTGGCCGGGGAACTAAGATTCCCACATGCCGTAGGGCAATTAAGCCCACGCACCACAACTACTGAGCCTGAGCACCTCAACCAGAGAGCCCACGTGCCACAAACCACAGAGCCCACGCACTTTGGAACCTGCACGCTACAACTAGAGAGAAGTCCAAGCACTGCAAGTAGAGAGGAGCTCGCGTGACACAATGAAGAGCCCGCGCACTGCAACGAAAGATCCTGCATGCCACAACTAAGACCTGACACAGCCAAAAATATAAAATAAAATAAATAAAAAAAGAAAATTTCATATCTCAATTAGCTCACTATAGTAATACAGGTTTGTTTTTTTTTACAGAGAAACCTTATAAACATAAAAATATTGAATACAGTTTTATTTTCATGCATTTCATGTGGAAATTCTATAATATCAAAAATTTAAATTATGATTCCTGTAAATACCAAAACCGTTAGCAATAATAAGGACCAAATAAAGACTATCTTAAGAATGTTTAATCTCATATAAAAGGGAGTGAAAATAGATGCACTTTTGCTGGCCTGTAGTTTGATGTTAAATCTAATCATAAATGCTTAAAATTTATAAATTCAAAAAGCTTCAACTTATAAATTTGAATAATATTAGTGTACATATTTTCTGTTTTTATGATTAAAATGAAAATTCTCAATAGGTACCCCTGTTAGTGCAAACCTAGGAAGCTCTAGGTAAAATAAGAATATATATATATATATATATATTTTTTTTTTTCATATTCTTTTCCATTATGGTTTATCACAAGATATTGCATATAGTTCCCTGTGCTCTACAATAGAACCTTGTTGTTTATCTATTTTATATATAGTAGTTTGAATCTGCTAATTCCAAACTCCTAATTTATCCCCTCCTCCTTTCCCCTTTGGTAACCATAAATTTGTTATCTACGTCTGTGAGTCTGTTTCTGTTTTGTAAATAAGTTCATTTGTGTCATATTTTAGATTCCTCATGTAAGTGATATCATATGGTGTTTGTCTTTCTCTGCTTACTTCACTTTGTATGATCATCTCTAGGCCCATCCATGTTGCTGCAAATGACATGTTACATGCAAAATCATTCAAGTTTACCTGTCTCTCCTGAATTACTTGACTCCCTTCGCTCTTTAACCTCCTATCCCAAATCTCATCTGTCAACCAGGGAAGTTAGTTAACATCTTGGACCCACTGTCTCTTTCTGTTCTCCTATTGACTTGTCTCTGTGCCCCTTCTCTTGGAAGGCAACACCGTAGTGCAGTGGTGAAGCTTAAGTGCTGGTTTTAGATTCTCCGTGATGAGAGTCTGGCTCCACCCGTTGGCAAATGTGTGACCTTCACAAGTTCTTTAGCCACAGTTTCTTATCTGTAAGAGGGCAATGATAAAAGTTCCTACCCGACAGAGCTGTTACAAAGATGAAACGGGCTAGAATATGTAAAGTACTCAACACAGAGTCTCTGGCACACAGTAGACACCCAATGAATGTTAGCTATTATTACTACTGTAGCCTGGTTTTCTGCTTTATTTTGCATTCATAAATCTAACCTGTATAGCCTGAGACATTTTTGAAAATACATATCTGGTCAATACTTCTAAGATTAAAATCCTCAGAGACTTTGCAGAGAAATTGTTTCTTAAAATGATACACTTTTTCTTGATGAGACTCTTAGTTATCTTTCCAGTCTTAACTCCTGTCCATTTTCTAAACTCATCCTTCACTCCAGAAATATCAAATTATGTGTAATTTCCCAAGTTTTAGCCCCTTCCATGCTCTCAAATCATTCTAATCTTGTTCTTTATTATAGACACTTTGGGAAATACAGACGATGCATAAAGATAAATCACCCATCATTCTAATGCTAGAAATACTTTAATATATTTTCTTTTAGAGAAAAAAATAAATTAATATTTCCTATCTTTGCTTTTTATTCTGCCCTTTTCATTTAACATTGATTTAAATTCTTTAAAACTAGGATGCTAATGGCTATGCAATATTCATATATATATATAATATTTTCAATAATCTTTTAAAGTATAGCCTTTTACTTATCTTTGAAAGGGAAGATTGGTGGGTAGACTGTGACCTTGTGAATATTTGTATAAATAATTATGTAATTAATGTTCCAAAAATAGCATGACTGTGGAAAACTTCCACTACCGTTGTATTTCTGTCAATTTCTATTTATATTTTTTACAAAGTTTTGCTTTAAGCATACAGTATTTCCTTGGTTGGAGATTTGCTTGTGTAAGTTTATCTCTGGTGATGTTTTTTTGTTGTTTTGTCTTTTGTTATGTGGGAGGAGTTCTATGGGAATCTCGTACGGATTATTGCAATACCCCTAAAGAATGGTTTTATGTTTG